GTACGGCGGGCATCCGCATGAGTAGAGACTCTGAAGGAAGGCCTCGACGTGTCGAGGCTCTATGCCGTCTACAATGACTGGCACTTCCGTGGCGCTTTTCTCGCTGTACTCGCCGTTGAACATAGTGTGGAACACGGGAGAGTACGCGACAGGACCTGCAATGACGTTCAGTGCACGGTCCTAGACAGGTTTAATGTCCGCCTACCGCTCGGTGAGCGCAGAACATGACGTCGCCGACAACGAGCTTCACGTCCGATCCCTGCATCTCCGAGGCCGACACGAAGACCCACGGTGAAGGCCTAGATTATTCTTACGCTAGAGCTTATATCGTTCTGATAAACATATTGCCACGTAATAGCCTTTTTTTGTCATTTTTCATAAACTTGCCTTCGCCCCTTACTACCCTCAGGCGGGAGTCTAGGTCATTGAAACTGCATTCTGCGAGCTGAACTGCTTTAGTGATTATCGGGTGTGAGTTTGTTTGCAACACCAAAAACCCAACCTTCTTCTCTTTCTCGATCCAAAGCGCAATCCTCTTAGGGAAGGCTTAGGGATCTTGTATCTCGTTCTGGTCCGCTATGCTCATGTATGCCTGCCGCTCGGAGTATGCTATAGCGGGCTCGCTGTTCTTGCCGTTATAGCAAGCATACGATAGCAGGACCGCTATAAGAGGCAGGAAGCACATGCTGGAATTTGAGTGCACATAACTTTTTCAAGCGAACCGATCCGGCTGGAAATCTCTGGTTTTACTCAACTTTTCATGGGCATTCGAATGATACCAAACTCTACCCGATCGCGAAAACTTTTTTGGGGACTGGACTCACACCAGCGCTTCAGGGTATAAGGATCCGACCCATACGCAGCGGGCTTAGCTCCGGTACGCTTAGGCTCAGGCTTATGCGTTTTTTAGGTTCTTAGGCTTACGGTATGGAATTATTGGACGGTGTTACCGGAAATTAGAGGATGGGTTTTCTGTAGATGCGTCATAAGTATGCCTTTTTAACTTGAGCTAGGTTCAGGAGAGAAGCGATGACGAAGTGGCGACCCTGATAAAGCCTTAGCAGCATCACAGAATTTTGGCATTATTGCAAAGGTCTTACCCATTTGGCGGCGCAAAAGTTACGACAATATCGGCACCAACGTACACAGTTGCGGATTGACATCCGAAAACTAGCCAATCGTTGGAACCAATTTTCGCATTACCAAAGTGCTCCACGTTGAACTTCGAGTGTCCTAAACTGACAACGTTCTAAGGCGCATCATTTGTAGCAATGTATTCTTTAGACGCGCTGAACGAACCATCCGCGGCCGTCGCGATTATGGTTAAAGGCGAAACCCTTCAGGTCGAGAGGTACGGCATTCAAGCCGGGCACGAGATTTTCGAGAGAGAATCTGTCGATCGTGATGGTGCCCATCGTTGCCCACCAGACACGCGAAGAAACTTACTAACGGCCGCTGGCTGTAGAGTGTAATAAGTCTGCAAAAGATCTGACGACTAGTTATAGCAGCTGGAAATCCTATGGCATTCCCATCCCACGCGGTGGTCGGCCAGCACTACTGACCAGTGTCCTTTAGGTCGGGAAATTATTTGGTCTTATTCAAGGGGCACATGACTTTCTGTACTCTCAAGGAAATGGGGTGAAGCGGGCTCGAACGGGTCGCGCAACCAACGAGCAAACCCCGAGAGCATGGTTATTGTCGGGAAAGTTTCCTTCAGCGCGGAGAATACTAAATTCCAAGAATTGGCAGATCCATAAAGCGCTGGGAAAGATTTGGTCGCCGCATTTTAACCCTTCAAATGAACTGATCGTAACCATGAAACGCGGCATTTCGCTGTGAATATGGGCAGGAAAAAAAGACATCTTTTACTCCGCTCCGACACCAAAAAGAGCAATAAGAATACGCTGCTAACGTTGTATTCATGTACCGGCGGTTTATGTGCCGTACGTTAGTGCTTTTTTTTCTTGCTTCGCAGTTTCCATGAATTCGGGTACGAAAAGTGGATTGTGCATGAACGTGAACTAAAAGACCTGAAGCGCTAATGCATAGCTTCTTGGATCCTATCTTCTCGCATAAGCCGCTCGCCAACGTACGGGGGGGGGGTCAGTACGGTACGGATGTGCCGTACGGCAAGGGGTCAGTACGGCTGCCGTACTGGAAACATTAAAATCCGTACTGAAAGCCGGTTACGGTTAAGCAACGGTTTAAGCTAATTCTTAGGCTTATTTTAGCCTTTGACTTAGTACGGCTTTTAGCACGGGCCGTACTGAGTACGGTACGGTTGTACGATACGGGTGGGTCAGTGCGGTAAGGCTGTACGGTACGCGGGGGGGGGGGGGTCAGTACGGTACGGCTGTACGGTACGGCCGGGGTTTGCCGACCTTAACTTACATAGCCCTCGGAACGGGGAAGGGCAGGGTAGTGGAAAGTGCTCGGAAACGTGGGGACGAAGCGATCATGCATTAAGGTTGGAATTTAGCAAGCGTCATGGTCGCCGCCGGCGAGCCCCGCGAAGCCCACGCCCAGGAAGGTCACTCGTCGCCAGCACGGATAAAAGCCCAGCGGAAGACAGCGCTGGCAGGCTCCGATCTGCAGATCATTTCGCGTCGCCCGTTTGTTCATCATCTGTGTGAAGCAAGAAAGTGTTCTCTGTCAATCCGCTATATTCTGAAGCCTCACCAGCCTGCTGAAGGCATTCAAGCAGCAAATAAAGAGAGATCCCAACTCTGGACAAGCTTAAATTAAGGTCTCAAGGCACGCGCCTGGCGATCGCCGAATCACAGTTTCTTGAACTTTACCTGAGCCACAGTATTGCGGGGTTTGGGCTATGATAATGCTGGCAAAAAGATCCTTGCCTTTGTCAATAAGAAAGTCTTGCCATTGGCAATGGTTGGCCGACTTTTGTCGAGAGTCACATCGCATATCTCGGGTTGTTCTGCCGCATCGTGGAACCCTTTCATTCTCAACGGATGGCAATGCAAAAGGACCGCTCGGTGACCGTCTCGAAGGTCTACTGTCAGATCAAGAAGCTCTGCAAGCACTGCGATAAGTTTCGCAACGAAGCTCCTGACGCCTGGGCGCTTGCTAAAGGTCAGCATGTTTTAAGAATGCCGGCCTAATGTCATGTTTTAAGGAATAAAAGCAGAGCTGCTCAAACGCTTCGGTGTCTACATCGATCCTAAGATGGTGGGCTTCAACCCGCACTACGCAGTCGCTGCAACTTTGGACCCGTCGCAGGCGTTCCTGGTTGACATGGACAGCGACATCATCAGTCGACTCCTGCTGGATCGTATCGGAAACGACGATGTTCAGGAGGTGGTTTCCGACGCCGAATCACTTGAAGCGGGCGACGACGACGCATACGAGGAAATCATGCGCAAGAAGCGGCGAATGCAGAAGCGCGCGAGTTCGCAACAGCAACAGAACATGGAGCTCGGTCGAAACGGCGACGACGTGCAGAAGTACCTCGATGCAGTCCTGTATGCGGACTTCGGCAGCACCGATCCGCTCGAATGGTGGCGCAGCGAGGGAATGACCAAGTACCCTCGTGTCTACGAGCTAGCAATGAAGTACCTGCCGGCTCCTGCGACTTCAGCATCCATCGAACGTTCCTTCAGTCAAGCAGGGCTCGCTCTGGGTGGACGTAAGGGCAGTACTCTCGAAGACCTGCTGGATATGAAGCTCATGGTTCACATTAACGAGAACATGTCCGGAGATCGCTAACTGAATAAACTGTCGCTGCTCTGAGACTGATTTTGCAACTAGGTAATGGTAGTGGGTAATGGAGGTAATGGTAATGGCCAGAAATCGGCCAGTGGGAAATGGTAATGGCAAAGTATTGGTAATGGCCAGAATTTCAGTAATGGTAATGGCCAGAAAAAGTGGTAATGCTCGGGCACTGTTGTTAGCGACGTAAAACGCTCAGCACCGGGCTAAAATAACATAATAAAAAGCTTATAATTTATCTAAAACGGCTTGCCGAATGGCCGACAAATGCAAAATCCGCGGGAATGTAGAAAAAAACAAAAAAACAATCCTACTTTACCGTTTTTTGGAATTATTATCGTCTTCGGTTTTGTAACAAAAAAACATTAAAAAACGTCTAGTTTTTTATCATTACTGAAGCGCACAGAGCAAACAACTTGTCACCTGTCGACGTAAACGGCTGACTATGAAGTATGGACATATGGTCTGGTAATATGGACTATGCGTCTTTCAGTCCCCTTACCTGCATCATGTTCGGCGATGGCATCGGATGCAAGCGTCGGTACAAGTCATAGTTGACTTCCACGTCGTCGTCGTTTGCGGCGATGCCCGTAGGAAGTGGAGGCAACGTTAGCGGCGGTGGAAGCCTTCCGATGCCGAACGATGCTGTCGACTGAGTGCGATTGTGCGTCGGGGTGTGCCGCTGGTTGCCGTAGTTCACGCCGCCAACGGAGCAGCATCTAAAGTGGAAAGGAAGAGGGTACACGTTTGCGAGCAATCCACAACTCTGTTCCTCGTGCTACTTTTGAAGAAGCTTCCCGTTCAGGTGATTTTTTTGGGAGAAAACCTTTTGTTATTTTTTGCCGAAACAGGATAAACGTATCTCAGAATGGCGGAGAAAGACATTTTTAGTGCGAAAATTGATGATGACACAGTCGAAAATATATTTTAACATAAATTTTGTTGTTTTATTCGTTTTTCGGAGTAATTTTTAAATTTAAATAAGTAATAATAAAATATCTATAAAATTTTCAAACATTTTGTAGGAGATTATGGTGCCGAAAGTTTAGACCTAGTTTATTTCAATTTTCTAGGTTCGAGAGCATAAATTGAGAATGACACAGCCTTGCCTTTTTTGCTTCACCTTCCCACGGCCGCCTTCATGCTAGGATACTCCGCACTTCCCTCGCGCACAACCTCCGATCACATAAAACTGCACATTAATGTGGTTCCATGCGCCGTAGCGTCGCTCCCTCACTGCGGTTCGAAAGCCGTTTGGAACGCCTCGGCTATCGGCCCAAGTAGTATAGTGGTTAGTACTCCACGTTGTGGCCGTGGCGACGCAGGTTCGATTCCTGCCTTGGGCAGCTCCTTTTTTATATGTTAAAATGATCGGGAAATTGTTTTTAACGTCTCAACGTTCCTTCGGAACGAACTTTAATGCCTCTCTGTTCTGTTGTTCTTCGAAAACCGAAAGAAAATTGCACTTTGTAGCACTGTACGCAACTTACGGTCCTATTTTTAACGTCCCAACGCAGTACATGCTAAGCTTTCATGCTTCTTTTAAACGTACTTGAAGACCATTTTGTTCTCCGTCAGCGTGCCGGTCTTGTCCGAGAGGATGTACTTGATTTGGCCCACTTCCTCCGGAGTATTCAGCGCCCGACAAAGAAGGTTCTTGTCGCTCGCCTCGTCGTACATGTCCAGATCGCGTGACATCAGGTAGATCTGACCGAGCTTGATCATCTCCACGGAGATGTACAGAGACAGTGGGATGAGGGTCTAAAGCTGCTTGTATTTACGGTACGGGAGGGCCAGTACAGCACGAGCTACAGTACGTTGCCATAAAAGCCGTATCGTGCAGTACTAATTCTAACGGCACGGTATTTCTTGGCTTATTTCGGCACGGCAATACGTTACGGGCAGGTCAGAACGGCACAGATTACGGAACGGAAGGGGTCAGTAGGGCACGGAGCACGGTACCGGAGGAATCAGTCGGCACAGGTACAGAACAGAGCGAATCAGTATGCTACCAAGTACGGCACGGGTGGGTCAGTACGGTACATATTACGGAATGGAGGGGTCAGTACGGCACGGAGCACGGTACCGGAGGGGTCCAGGTTTCTTGTAATGCGGTATCCCAAGCCCATGCAAACATTCTCATGAGTGAAACCTGCGGACCGCACTCTTTACCTGGTACGTCAGAATGTACGACGCCATGTTGATGAGTCCGTCCTGCACCGCACCGCTTGTCTCGAGGATCACAAAAGGCATGCGATTCATATGCGCGTTGTGGTACTTCAGCCAAATGATCGAAGCGATGCCGCAGCCGACCACCATGAGGACGAGGACGGCGACGCAGTACAGGACGAAGTAGTTGGTGACCCGCTCGAGCGTGCTTCGCTTGTACTTGGCGGCGCCTTGGCTCAGCATCATCTTCGTCTCCTTGCCTACGACAAAAATGCTGACGTCATTAAGGTTATCGTTTTCCCGCTCTGCGTGCATATGAAAATTTATCATTTGTCTGCTCTCTATGCCAAAATCCAGCCGTGACTGAGTCCAATAATTGGTCGCGTGGACGACGAATGACGACTGGAAACAGAACCAGCAGTGTGTTTCAGACACTGTACCTTCAACGTCTACAAAGGCTAGAACGTGTTCCATCCTGTTCCTGCTTGCCTCCGAGTGGATAGCACGTTTTTAGCTCTCCGCAGGGTCCATATCAACCATTTTCTGGTCATTTCCCGACGTTGTCCCGGGGCTCCATTTCCCGAGTACGGGCGAAAAAACCGCTATTTTTATACAAACATCATTAGTCCTGCCGCGGATGAAGCCAGGCGACGACAATCGCCTGATTGGCCATGCTCTCGGTTGCTTCTGGCGCAGGACAACACGAGCTCCTCTCGGAAAAAGCGCAGTTCGATCTAGTTTCCGCAATATTCGTAGCCCGCTTTGGTCGCAATTGAACTCCATCGGATACTCAGAAGTAACTAATAGGAACATACCGGTATAGAGCACTACGCCCTCTACGAATGCCGTGTTCCTGATCTGACATCCACGCAGGATGACGTTGTCCCGGCTCAACGTGTCCACAGTGCCGTCATCGTACTTGACCGTTCCAGAGATGTGGTTGAGACGGTTGTCCGGCTGACTGCAGAAGATGTTCACGTTGAAGTATTCAGGGTTGAACTTGGGTTGCTAAAGGGTGCAGATAACTTGAGTTTCTGGGTCACCGTTTGAATAAGTCTCGTTATTCTAACTCCGCCCACGCGTAGGCTCAGGCTCGGGCTGTACTTATCGCTCACGTTTATGCAGTGACCGACTTAGCATGAGACCACCAAAACCGCTGAGAGCCCTGCCAGCACATCATGTCTAGCCGACATCGTCCGGCCGAGGTCCTTTCGCTGACTTTGTCATGCATGTAGGTAACGTTCATCGTGAGGTTTCGGGTCATTCTTCTTAGGTACCACTGGGGGAACACCAAAACTCACAAGCAACTCGATGACCAAAATCTCAATCCGTACAAGAAGGTGCCGGATCCAAGTTTCCCCAAAATAACATGGTGCCGAAGCGTCCGAAGCCGGGCTGCGTCTAACCCGCTAAACGGCCGAAACGGAATCTGGGGTCTTCCAGCAAGTCCGAACTGGGTTCATTACGCACAGGGAAATTCTGAGATTCCTCGCCGTGACGGTTTATTACCCCGCACACGCTTCCGCCTCTTTTCTTGTTATTCGTTTTACCGAATTTACGAAACCAAAGCACAGAATGCGGAATTCCATGGTTCGACATCCGCGGTTTGGTCCCATCATGTTGGTCCTACTTACCCTGCAGTAGTTTCTACACCCGGGCAAGACGATCTTCTGCTTCAAGTTGTTCTCTCCGTCCAGATTCGACGTCTCCACGAAGGCCATTCCTTGCGGGTCGGAGCTCCGGATGAGGACGATGTCCGCCGGGATCTTCTCGTCACAGGAGACGTGAACGAGGTCGCCGACGAGCACAAGTTCCCACCATGTCTTCCGGAAGCGTCTCTTCGAACTAAAGACGGCCTTTTCAAGAAAAATCGATAGCAGGGCAATCTCGGCGGAGGCTAAGACCGTCAAAAATGCCGCCCCAGCCTGGAAGTTAGGCAAGTCGGGAGAACTTTTTGCAGCATTTTTATCGGGGTATTTGGGCAATTTTTTACACAATTTGCTTACAATAGGTTCCATCGATTTCGGCTAGTTTTATTATTGTTTTTCTTTTTATCTTCTTGGAAAACTATTTATAACAAAATATTTTTGTTTAATTTTTAATTTATTTTTAAACTCATATAATATGTGCAGTATGCCCTCAGGCCCGGTAAACAGCCTCAACGTGCCTTTGTCCCAGTCCAAGCCATTATAATTCTCCTGCCGAGCCTTACCGCAGTAGCGACTTACCTGTCCCAGACGTGCACCGTGTTCCGGTTAACCCGCTTGTCCGCCTTCCGCCGGCGCCAGTCCTCCGCAAAGTCCTTGATGGCGGTCGCCGCGAGAATGATGGCGACCGGGATCATGCCGATGTACCTGCTCACGGCTTGCAGCTGTGGGATCCAGTTCAGGCCTAAGCTTGCCTACATAACTTTTGCTCTTAAGGAAGCGCAATGAGTGGATTACGCACTATTTTTAGCCCAAGAACCCGTGTTTCTATGGATGCGCTGAAACATTAGCTAGAACAGGTGGCAAACGCCTATGGAACGTTGCTGATTTACAAATGTAAACGTGCTATGTTCGTCATATCGAGCCCCGCCGAAGGAAGGTCCGATGATCGGATTCGGAAATCCGGTGCCTTTTGGTAATCGAATTTCGTCCAATAATTTCTTTCCGGCGGGACGGATCAAGTGATTGCACGTGATAAGCACGAGTACACCCGATATAATGCATGGGGTCCACGGCTAAGTTCGTCCCTCTTTAAGCGCCGTAAAATGCACATCGCACCTCGAGCTACACTGTTTGACTGTAGATTCCCTTCCCCTACCCCTGGCCTGCAGAATTGCCACCACCAAGAACACACATTTCCTCACACAAACGGAAAAGTTTTGTCTATTTTCCCGCTCCTTGCCAAAGCTGATAGTGGGACTCTGGAATCCGCTTAGACGGCCGTGCTGCTCACCCGCAATCACGCAGAAGTATATGTTCGCCCATCGATGAAACTGTTCCCAGAGATTCTTGAAGATAAAGTTCATCCATGTGTACTTCGTCGTGGAGATCTTGTTCGTGCAGTAGCGACGGTAGTTCTCGAGGCAGTAGCGGGGCACTTCAGGTGTGAGCCAATTTGGCTCGATGACGCGGTCACTGAAATTTGCATACGTCGTCACAGCCAGTGGGAGGTGACCACTAGGCCGGGTAGGGAGGGGTGGAGGTCGCACGGCTTCCCATAGAGCTTTGTTATTTTGACCCCGGGTGTAGGCCTGGGCCGACGTCCGTTCTGCGAATCCCTTTGTGGGATGATATTTCCAACACTGACCACGACAGGCTTAAGCCGTAAATCCGGGTCAAAATCGCGGGATTCCCATAACTATCGCTAGTCCTTGCAGATCCTCCACACTCGGCCAGAATGCAAGCACTCACGTCACTAGGGTCCTTTGCCTCGTCAGCCGGTCCTTCAGTGGTGTAAACGCCTGGTTCATCTGCTCGAAAATCGGTGGTTTCTGCGGGATCCATCGCGATGAGTTCCTTCGGTGCGTCCTGAAGTTTTCCGGGACGCCCGCCACTGACATGGTGTCCGGCGATGGCGGTCGGTAACCCTGAGATGTGGTGAAAGAAAGGGCGGGAGAAATAAAGTTTAGACGCAGTTAGTTGTTGATCATTCAGTCGTCGCCTGAAACGTTTTTGTACTGAGTCCGCCGAAAGTCTTCGCACGTGGCAAAACGTTGCTAGAGGATGAAAACATAAGATCGAGCGTCCGAATCCGACTGCCAAAGAACCCGCCGATTTTCCGGGGTTCTCTACAAGAAGCACCATCACAGAGCTTAGGTTATATTCTTAGGTTCGAAATGATAGTTTAGTCCTTTAGACAGAGTCATCCAGTGAGCAAATGCGGAGGAATTTCTCGTGCACACATGTCTCATCGATTACAACGTAGCGAAATGCAAACAAATATTGCGAGAAATGACTAATGAAGTACTACTAAGTCAGCGCAGACGGACATCAGCCTGCTGCCATTCCAACCCATTTAACTAAAGGACGGCAGTGATCGGATCTTAGCGCCGGTTGGTGTAGCTTCGACGGGGCCCTGTTTCACGTCCCAAATGCGTCAATGCGACGGAGGTTATCAGACCACGCAAACAACACGTGGCAAATTGGAAAGACGGTCGGTCAGTCAATAAGGCCACTGAGCAGCCGACGGA